AAGGTCCCTTGATCTAGCTACCAGATACACTTATAGAAAAACATATGATATGTTTGGTAGAATAAATTATTTTAAATGGATATTTGTTTAAGAGAAGTAGGCAAAGCTAATGATTGCTCAGAAAAGAATTCTTTAAGAATTCTTTAAGCTTTAAGAATGAATCTCCTTATTTATTTATTTTATAAAATTAACGTTGCTACCCATCTTAAGTACATAACTGGGTGCCGAACAGTACATATAAAAAGCGTATTTAAAAAAAAGAACCCTTACTATTAAAACAACACAATGCAAAGAAAAATAAATAACCACGTAACGATTCCATAAAGCAAACATATACATTGGGCATCCTGTTCCTTATGGTTGGGGGAAAAGCCTAATTTTAATAGCCTTCCAGAAGGCCAAGAGGGTTGGGACCATCCAAACAGGGAGAGGCTGTTCCATAGGGCAGGCACACCTTCTTAGTCCCACAAGATGGCATGTTTGATAGAGGGGACCTGGAGCATGCCTGCCCTGTTGGATCTAGCAGAACAGGCAGAAACCCTCAGAATTAGATGGTTCTACAAGAAACCTGACCATGTAGTGCTTTAAAGGTGATAACCTGCAACTTGAATTGCATTTGGAAGCATATTGGAAGCCAATGCAGCTTGGGCAAACTTTGAAGCGCCCAAGATTGTGCACACTGCCACATTCTGCACCAGTTGAAGCTTCTGTGCGCTCTTCAAGGACAGCCCCATGTAGAGCACATTGCCGTAATCCATCCAGGAAGTGACTAAGGCATGTGTGACCATGGGCAGAACATCCCAGTCCAGGAATAGATGCAACTGGTCTGCAAAATGACTGTGCAAAGTCCCCACAGCCGCAGCCGCCACATGTCATTCAAGCAGGGACCACGAGTCCAAGAGGTCCCCTAGACTGCACACCAATTCTGCCTGGGGGAGTGCTACCCCATCAAGAGTTAAGGATGAAGAATTACTAGATCTAGGGGCCCAAAAACCCAAACCCACTCAGTCCTGACAGGGTTGAACTGCAACCTGTTTTCCCCCATCTAGATCTTGACAGTCACTAGGCACTGAATAAGAACTATGACAGCATCACTTTTCCAGCACCATAGTAATGCCAAATGTGTGTGTGTGTATGTATGTACGTATGTATGTCAGTACTTTTCCTTTAAAGCTCCATTCCCCAATTCTGCATCCTCCAAATGAATTCAGCTATAATTCCTGTGACCCTTAGCTGGTATAGTAAACACTGGTTTAAAGAAATTTAACAATTGAACTAGTTCAACCCATGGAAACATTTCTGTCTGTGTAATCTCTGTATTTACATATGTATAGAATATATTGGAAATGAGGATCGAAGAGCAAGCAATGCAATTGTGAATTCTTTATCAGAATCCCAAACATAGAGGAAAAGATTTCCTGCATATTTTCCACAACGCTATCCATTCATTCATTCATTCATTCATTCATTCATTCATTCATTCATTCATTCCAAATATAATCTTAAGGCAGTGACAGTAACTTCATTCCTACCTAGGGAGTATAACATTCTCAAGGTGAGAAAGATATTTTTAAGCCATTTTATTGAATCAAGCCCCTTCCCAGGCACACGAGAATATCGGACATCTTTTAACAACTATATGCCATAACCTGTTATTTTAAAAATGGTTTAGAGATCGCAAAATAGTACTATATTTTAATATCACTATAGCAGCACTATTTTGTCCCTTTTTGTTAGCAACAGAAGGCTAGTGTAAATCAACAGTTTATTTCATAATAGCAAAATCAATGAGAAATTAAGCAGTTCAAATTTCTGAATACTCTCCAAAATGGAATTACTGGTGATGAGGTAATTATTATTCAAATATAGAATGCAGGTTATGTTCTTCAGACTATTATATAATTGAAAGAATAGGTGTTTCTCCTGTTATTTTCCAAAACATTGATATTGGTATATAATGAAAAAGAACACAATTCAGTAAGCCTTCCAGAGAAAAAATAATGTGTCCATAAATATATCTCCATATTAACTTCTGTCAAAAAGGTAGCTAGCATAGCACTTGTATATATCATTTCAATGATCATTTTCTTATAAAAAAAAAAGATGTGTAATTGTCCAGTATGCATGAAATATTATTTTTTGCTGAATTTTAAATATGTAAAACAGGCAATTATGCCCAAATTGTCTTCCATTGACATTCATATACTGAAATTCCAGTTAATCTATTTTGGTGTATTCTAGATATGTTAGTCTAATGTAGTATATTCTAGTAACTATTTATAAATAGAAATTTGTAGGCTGACTATTTAGTAAAGAACAGGTTACATCAATTTTAGTATTACAACTAAATTTAAGTTTTAATTTTTTTTATTCTTATTTTGTGGGTCACCTTGAATACTTGCTTGGATAAAAAGGTAGGATATAAATCAAATAAAGCAATCAAATAAAATAATGTCCCCTAATGTTGGAAAGGTTTCCTAAGGATCACTTAGAACTTCCAACTTTATCTAGATATTGAAAGGTATTTGAAATTAATTTCTTGTCACTCAACACTTATTGGCAAATGGTAGTTATAGAGCAGCTCCTCAAATAGTTAATATTCTTCATGTAATCATATTAATTGATCTAAGGTATATTCAGACTCAGCTGATAAAGACAAAAACTGTTGAAAATAAAAGATTGAGGATGCAAAGGAGTATAATCATCAGGCTTTGAACACTAATCTGAAATAAGCTGTTCCTGGGGAAGGGGTACTTGATTAATTTTAATTACTTTTGTAACAGGACTTTTCTTCCCTGTTAAGTGACAACTTCCCCTGATCTCATCTCTAGCCAGTGTTATTCTTTCTTTTCTCTTGCCCTTTCCTTCCACAGTGCAGGTATCAATTCTTCTCACTCCTTCTCCATCCTGTTTCTTTTCTTCTGTGCTTTTTTGCTAGAAACAGTAAGGTTTCTGGGTATGTATGTGTTTTCTTGTGTATTTCTGTATGTGATGGGAACTGGTATGTGTTTTTCATTATATACAAACATACACAAACACACAACATGATAGCAGCAAATACGTTTAATCAGGTGTTATTAATTCCTGGGTTTGCCTTTTTTGGAGTGTGGATTCTGGCAAATATATATAAACATATACAGTCAGGTCCAGAAATATTGGGACATCGACACAATTCTAACATCTTTGGCTCTATACACCACCACAATGGATTTGGACTATCTCTCTGATGGGTTTGTTTTGTTTCTTCAGCCTAATGATGGCTTGCTTCACTGATAGTGACAGCTCTTTGGATCTCATCTTGAGAGTTGACAGCAACAGATTCCACATGCAAATAGCACACTTGAAATGAACTCTGGGCCTTTTATCTGCACATTGTAATTGGGGAACTGAGGGGATATCACACACCTGGCCATGGAACAGCTGAGAAGCCAATTGTCCCATTACTTTTGGTCCCTTAACAAGTGGGAGGCACATATGCAAACTGTTGTAATTCCTACACCGTTCTGGAGAGTGTTCTTGATCTGGCCAACTGTTGTGAAGGGTGTTTTCTTCACCAGGGAACGAATTCTTCGGTCCTATCTCTCTGATGGGTTTGTTTTGTTTCTTCAGCCTAATGATGGCTTGCTTCACTGATAGTGACAGCTCTTTGGATCTCATCTTGAGAGTTGACAGCAACAGATTCCACATGCAAATAGCACACTTGAAATGAACTCTGGGCCTTTTATCTGCACATTGTAATTGGGGAACTGAGGGGATATCACACACCTGGCCATGGAACAGCTGAGAAGCCAATTGTCCCATTACTTTTGGTCCCTTAACAAGTGGGAGGCACATATGCAAACTGTTGTAATTCCTACACCGTTCTGGAGAGTGTTCTTGATCTGGCCAACTGTTGTGAAGGGTGTTTTCTTCACCAGGGAACGAATTCTTCGGTCGAACGGTGTAGGAATTACAACAGTTTGCATATGTGCCTCCCACTTGTTAAGGGACCAAAAGTAATGGGACAATTGGCTTCTCAGCTGTTCCATGGCCAGGTGTGTGATATCCCCTCAGTACCCCAATTACAATGTGCAGATAAAAGGCCCAGAGTTCATTTCAAGTGTGCTATTTGCATGTGGAATCTGTTGCTGTCAACTCTCTTCCAAATCCATTGTGGTGGTGTATAGAGCCAAAGATGTTAGAATTGTGTCGATGTCCCAATATTTCTGGACCTGACTGTACATATATGCACACTTAAGTGTGACACAGCAGGAACTGGGAAGCATAGTTTGGAATATGGAACAACTGGCACTTGCCTGAATTTTTGTCTGTATTTGTAATTTATTTCTATACACTTTTCAATTTAGGTCCACCTTTTTCAGTAAATGCCATATTCCTTTTCAAAATTCCTGAAGAAAAGAGGATTTAAAGAATGAAAAAATAGAATTCACTTGTATATAAATATATAAATATATATTCATACTTTATATGAAGATCTTGACTAAAACATCATTTCAGTAACAGAATAGCCATTTCCCTAGCAATATCATTTATTCTTCTCTGCTTCCTACTTTGTTATATATCCACAAAGACCAGGAAACAAAAAATAGTAAGAAATAGGAAGGGATGGGCTTTAAACATTATTTGAAGGACAGGTCAACCTAAAATCACAATTAACTTGGCAGTTCGTTCTAAGGTCTATTCTTTTAGTATGTGGATATACATACATAAGGTTGGAAGTTCCTTGGCTTTTCCTTCCAGAGAGTATTCTGCACCTGAGGGAAACATCAACTCAAAAAGAAGGAAAAAAAATAGCTCAATTTTGTGTTCATATGAAACCAAAACCAGCCTTTTAAAGCTGATAATTATACTCCTAATGATAAATATTAGGAGCCCAAAATATATCTTTTAGAAGCAAATGGGTATTCTCTCCAATACAAATATAACTGATCAATGTTATTTTATGACTACTAAGCAGAATACAAATTATTTAATTTATTTTTGTGTGTTCTTTTTTTCAGATGATCATTCTCGAGTGAGACTTCAGCCTGTTGAAGGGGAATTAAACTCAGACTACATCAATGGAAATTATATTGACGTAAGTATACTGATTTATATACCAAACATAACAATTTGTTCAAATATTATTTATTTATTGGCTTTTTAAAAATAGATACTATATATAGGCCAGCTGCCAGTTGCTAAATATTATGAGAACTCATAGTCTGTAAATCTCATGTTTGACATTAAAGCTACCAAAGACTTGTTCATATGAAAATTAAATGGCTCGTTTCCTAACACTGTTGCATTATGGAGTAGAAACTTCCCAATAGTTTTATCTGGCTACTTTTCCTCCCAGGTTTTATGTGTCCCCTCCCCCCACATTAATTTTAGTTTCTGTCAAAGTTTGGCATATAGTAATTCCCTTTTTAAAAGGAAGCTGTTTACAAGATTAATGTGATCAAACTCCATAATTTCTAATGCAATGACTTGCAATCTCCTTCCATCATTTTACTTTTAAGCAACCTTCAGAGTGGAATCTACATCTGTTAACTAGAACTTCTGATGCAAGCAAGACATTTCATTAAATATGTATATTGATTAATTATTGAAGACCGCTTCTTTGTTCATTCTGCATCATGTTAACTTAATGTTTTACATTAGAATAAATTCTTTAAGAGAGAGCAGTTGGAGGGATTGAAAGAATCAAAAGTAGGAGTGAATATTAAGAAGCCATGCCTTTCTGAGTCCCAGCCTACAAAGTGCTTCAAATGTTTTTTGCACATAATGTTATTGTTCCAAAACATAATAATTTGAACTTATATTTTTTCCTTGACTTTTATATACCTTAGAGACTCCTTGATACCATTTTCTAAAACTGATACTTTCATACTCAAAAGTACATTTGAATCATTCTTTTCATTAATTATAATATACAGGTTACAACAAAATCAGGCCACAAAGACCCATGACCTTTGAGCATTCTTAAGTACAGTAAGATTTTCTCTGAAAAGAATATTAATTAATAAAACGTTGTGATTGGTCTATGGGGCTTGACTTTTGGTACACCCTGTATATTTCTGAATATTGTTTTTTACACTGGAAGGCTTTTATTTCACTTTTAATTAAACAGTCTGAACATTATTGTTTATGAGTTGGATACATACTTCAGACATTGCTACAACTTCATTCATATAGCAGATTAATTCATAATCAGTTGGTACCATTGCTCATCATTCACCTGATTGCACGTGTACCTGACTGTTCTTACAGCATTTGCAAGACATTTGCAAACAAGACTTCCATTTGCAAATAGCAGTTGTCCTTATAGAAACATCAGCCATTCATAGTATTGTCTTTAAGTGGCAAAGAGACTTCGTCACTTTCTAGTGATTGGGCAGAGATTGGTTGAGACATCTCTGTTTGGTTACTGGTCATGAAGTGCATATTCTGATTGACTATTTATGCAAGCACTACAGGCTCACAGAAAAGGGTGCTGGTTAAATGTAACAGTCAATAAACTCTGCTTCATTTCAAGTGGGAAATTAGACGACTAGGGTAATGGAAAGGCTGGGTATCTGGAAATATTCTAATCATACTTAGAAAATATCCACTGAAATCATGACTAATTGAAGTCCATTGATTTAAATAGCTTGAGTGTAACTGTGTCTAGATCCAACTCTGTACTAATTCATTTGTTTGAAACTAAATTATAATTCAAATATTAATCTAATACTTTCTTTACCAAGATAAATCGTAATGCTTCAGCTAAATCACAGTTCATTATTTAATCTTTCTTAGCTGTTTTCTCCCTATTATATAACACTAAAGTTACTCTAATAGTAAGACAATTAATATAGTTTGGAGTCTCCTTACTATGTTATTAATGGTATGTTGAAGCCGCTTTAAGTCACTGCATAGAATGGCAAATCATTTATGCGTATTACTCATTGAATGAATATTTTCACATTTTCTTCTCTTTTGTGACATGAAAAGAATCCCTTAATTTGCTTAGCAAAATAATTAAAGGAACATCTAAAAGGTTTTTCAGAGGGCATTATATGTATTTTTGTCATCTATCTCATGGTACTGATAAAGATTATGAATAATAACTTTAAATCCTTATTGATTTGGTTGGATACATACATTTATATAT